TTTTAGAAGGGAAGATATAGTCATTTGTTCTGGGAATTACATTTTTGAGCATGAGACCTGAAAAACAGGCTCAGGGCTTAACAGGTTAAAACACAAAGACAGACCCGATAACTGCCGTTACAAGATACATAAAAAACCAAATTAAATATATGTAACTGTATCTGTAAAAGTGGAAGAGATGTGCCCATTTATAAGTGTTAGTTAAGTGCTGAGTTTTGCAAGATTGTCCAAGGACTCTGCCAAGGTTCAAAGTAGGAAGTGCAAAAAGAATTCGCAATGTGCAGAGATAAAGAACCTAAGATAAAAAGGGAAAATAAATGTAGACCCTACAATGTCACATGTTGGTTTTTGGTGTTAGGTCATAATGGAGCCTGGGACCTAAGATTTTCATCGACATAACTACACTGCAGCTATGTACGTATGACAAATAAAAGCCTTGAACCTTGAATTGTTAAGAACATCTTGGTGTTATTTGTCCATTAGCTTTGATCATGTTCAAATAGAGTGTAGTTTATTTGCTTGAGAAAAGTCAGGGAAAGTTGTGGTTTGTGCTAATGCCTGTCTCAAGACGTGTTGTGCACAGTACAGGAACATAAGTTGATGAAACAGTAAAATTGACCGTGGCATTTCATTATGGGAAGAAATGTTCCTGTACTGTGCACAACACGTCTTGAGACAGGCATTAGCACAAACCNATGCTAGATGTAGCATGTAATGCTACTTTCAAGGCAAGGACAAACTTGGATATTTAATGAAAGAAAGTTAACATTGAAATGAATATGCTTTATACTGATACTATGAGTAACAGGGTTGAGTGGGTTAGAGTGCCACACTCTTTTAAGAGTTAGTTTTGGTCTACACATTGGCACTAGCACATGGCTTGCTGATGTCCCTTCTACTGTGTCATTTGACTTACAGTTTTTGACAATCTAAAAAGGTTTCGGTAACAGGGTTGAACGCATGTTGAGGGACACACCTTCAGTGCAAAATTACTGTTATTTAAAATATGTTTATGATTTAACAAATTGATTTTACCATTACAAGAGACATATATCAATAGAATAATACCAAATAAAGTAAATAAAATCCCTATTTTAAATGTTATATTTGACATGCAAGTTGGTCACCAAGAAGCAGGGACAAGAGAAAAATGCCATTTTAGGGGGTGTTCAAGAGGTATTTGATCATTTAAATAATATTTTGAAACCACTTTTTCTACAACTTTATATACATTTTGTCTCAAGACAAGTATATTTAACACAACAATTGCATGTTTTAACTTTTTGGGAATGGATTATTCGATTTTTTATATCGTACTTGTTTTAACTACAGAAGATGCTATTGTTTGTTTGTAGCCTTTATTTAACCAGGTGAAAATCCCATTGAGATCAACGATCTCTTTTTCAAGGGAGACCTGCAGCACATTGGTTACACATAAAAAC